CATTCCTTTTGAACATCTTCAAATAGGAAATATGATGAATACATATGGAACTAATTAGTGGTTATTCAATTCTAAAGAGAATTTAAGGTCCCCTAACTCAATCTTCTATTCATTTTTCTATACAATGCAGGAATCCTTTCTGAAATATTTGAAACTGGAAATCATAAACTGATAGCCTGAGGACCATTTGCAGCTCATAGATACAGTCTATTTGGATGATATAGGATTTTTTTTAAAACTCTCTTATATACACACAGCTCCAGATCTCTGCCTTCTCTTGAAAATGCAACTGCAGCTGCATGTCTGATGCCCTTTGAAGGAGGCATGTCCCATGCTCCCTCCACTTCTCTACCACTTCCAACTGGCCCACTTCAATCCCTCATCAGCCCATTCTTCTTTAAGAATCTGGGCATTTAAGTTGTAACCACTGTTCCAGAGAGAGGGTTATCCACCCTGTGGCTGAACATCTCCACTAGGAGGGAAGAAGCTCACAGCTTTCTAAGTTGACCAATTTTACTGCAGGCAACACCAAGAGAAATTTGTCTAGAATAATTTTCGGACACTGGAACTAATCCTCAAGCAAAGTTAATCTACTCTCTTTCACAGGACAGCTGTCCAGATATCTGAAGACAACTAACCTTGCTAGGTTTTCCATTTTAATTTAACAACTACAAAGACCCCAAATACGTCTCTTACTAAAATTTTTTCAATATTGTACTTAGACAAAACATCTTAACCTCTGTGTCTCAGTTTCCTTATAAGTAAAATAAAAATAATAAAGGCATGCATATCTTAAGATGAAATTTAATAATTCATGCAAATCACATAGAACAGTATCAGGAGTTAGTGCTCAATAAAGTTTGATTGATGCCTTTATTATATTATTATTATTATTATTATTATTATTACCAACTATGTTTTCATCAACATAACCAACATTATTCACAAATTAATCATATTAATATCTATTGCCACACAGTTTTGTGAATTAATATAGAACTAATATAAGAAATTGGTACAGCATAGGGAATCAATAAATGGTCATTACCATTACAAGTATTATTTTGTGGGAATTAAATGTTAGTACACTAAGGCATTAATATTGACACAAATGTTTGTTACAAGAGAATATGATAAAGTGATTGATAAAAATATCGATGTACTAACTCCCATAGAAACTCTCCCCTCAAGTTTGAAAATAACTTATTCATATAATTACATTCCTTTGGTATGGTTGTTCAACTACCTACAGATACAGTTAGCTATTAACTTAGAAAAAAATATTTAGAAAATAATTTTAGCCATTTGATCATTATATTTTTAGGATTAAGAGAACTCTATTTCCTAATGCCACAGTCTGTCTTCACTATGAATTTATCAATCTTCAGTACAGAGTTGAGGCATCTTTTGATATGTGGTGGTTGAAAATGAAAACTAATTGTTTTTACACAGTTGTTTAAAATGTCGTGAAGTACATGAATGCCAATAATTTTTCATGACTGACAGTTTTTATTATATAAATACACTTATAGAAAGTTTGATAATTTTTACAAATTAGGATAATATATCCTTTGAGTTTTTCTATTCTGAGTACAATCAATGCTCTTCATAAAATTTGCTTAAATATTGAATTTTTAAAATATTAACAGCCCATTGCATTTCTAAGACAGTAGATTCCTCACATAATTACATTTCACCTAAACATGTATCTAAATTATCATATTTTCTATTAATTCCACAAATAGGAGTACCATCTATTAAGATAAAAAATTAATTCCTAGATATTAAAAATGAAGAACTTGAAAATTTCTCTTATCATATTACCTAATAAATAAAAATATGATTAAATCTATGATGAAAAAAAAAGGAAAGACAACAACTCTGTTCATTCAGTATTGATATAGGAAAGTAAGACATTATATATGCAGTTCAAATGAAATTCATTAGATGTCCTAATTAATCTACCACTATTTTTAGCAAGATTCATTCTTAATTATCTCTGCAACACTATAAGATACAACTGGTTGTAAATGAAGAAAACTTATCTTCCAACTAGGAGGTTATTCCCAGCCTCTAGAAGGCAAGACCAGAACATGATAAGGAACCAAGTATTACAGTCTCTGCTTCTTGTCTCCATTCACATCCTCATCATAATGGCATGATTATGAGATACTTTATTATTATTAATGATAGCACTTAATGCTTATTATTTCCAAACAAGAAAAAGTAAGTAGGTGAAGAGAAAAAAAGATTTACCCAAGGTTACACTGCTAGTATTTGACGGAGAGAATTCCAAAAAACAACTTCCAATTCCAAGTCTAGGACTCTTTCTTCTAACTGTGCTGTTATAATCCAAGTTAGGCAGTCAAAATTTACAGAGTTACCAAACAATTACAAATAAATAGTGGAGTTTACTGGAAGCAAAGAGCTTATCATCTGATTCCATTCCTATGACAACTCTAACAAACATAAATGACAAAAAAAATTACTACAAACCTTTTTTTAAACATTTTTAATTTTTGTGTAAATTACTTGAAAAATAACTATATTATTCTAATAAAAATAAAACTTTTAGAATTAAATCAGTTCCAAGTAACTCAATCACTCAGCTTATATCAGCACATTTTGATCCTATAGGTGAGCTGATTCTGAACAGGACCAAAGAAGGTGTAGTCAGATAGAAGATATTTATTTTTGAGTTCTTTGAGTTCAGCATGCTATAGCACAACATGCCTTCCAGCTCAATTCACAATAGAAAGTTATGGAACTACCCATCAATAGATGAATGAATAAAATACAAAATATATATTTTTTGTCGTTTGCTGGAATGAAATGGATAGAACTGGAAAACATCATGCTAAGTGAAATAAGTCAGTAAGTCAATGGTCAAATGTTTTCTATCACATGTAGAAGCTGAGAGAAAAAGAAATTTAAAAGGGGATCTCATGAAAATAGAGTGGAGATGAGTAGAGTAGGGGTAGGTTATTAATGGAGAAAGAGGAAGAGAGGGAAAGGGGAAGAACTGGAGAATAAAACTGACTAAATTATGCATATGATTGTATAAATATACCACAATGAATCCCACTTTTATGTACAATTATAATGCACTAAGGAAAAATATGTAAATAAATAGAAAGAACACCAGAAGTGTAGAAGAAAGAAGGAGGAAGAGGAATAAAAGGAGAAAGTGCTGGGGCATGAATTAGAGAAAATTATGTTATGTGCATATATGAATAAGTGACAATGAACCCAACTACTGGAAAACCCAAATGTCGGAAAAATTTATACTTTATGAGACAAAATTCCTAGAATTGGAATAGATCATTCATAGCATGTGCACAACTTTAAACTTTGTAAAGTTAAAACATCAACCAGAAAGTGTCAGTTTCCTCACACTGTCAACACCACTTTTTAGTGCTTTTAAAATCTCTGCCAACTTGTTAGACAAAAACTGGTAATTCATCTTTTAAATCATCATTTCTATGTTAACTTTTAACATTTTAAGTGAATACATAATGAATTGAAAAGTTTCCTAACATGCTTGGCTTTAGATTTGATGCTGGTTATTTGAACCATGAAGCAGTACTCAAGATTCAAGCATTCACCCTGGGGACACTTAGCTTACTATCAAGCACAATATCTTCCAGAATACCTTGCAAATCAAATTATACAGGACAAAGATACTTCCAGGCCAGCATCAGACACAGGCAGAAAGGATTAATGCCTGATTGCCAAATGAACCTGATTTAACAGATCCTGAGAAAGACCACTTTATACCACCCTCCCCCCTGCCAAATCCCCCTCTTCCATTTTACTAGGATTCTCAGAATTCAAGTATTAGAGATTTCTTCCCTTGTGCTCAAACAATTGGGACCCCACCAATTCTTTCAAAATTCAAGGGCTTTACTTCAGTATGAGCTCCACATAATTATGGTGAATTCATAGAATGGAATGCCATGGAGCCATTAAAAAGAACTATGGAATTCTGCGTTTACTGACCGAAATACATCCATGATATCCTTATTATAGCAAAAAACAACATGTATGATATAAATGTGTGGAACAATATTTACTAAAATATTAATAGTTGCTATTTATCAAAGGGTACATGATAGATTTTCATGTATGTCCATATGTGTATATGTGCATATACACGTAAGTATGTATGTGTGTGTTTGTTACTGAGGACTGAATCCAGGGACACTCTATCACCAAGATATCCCCAGTCCTTTTTGTTTTGAGACAAGGTCTCACTAAGTTGCCAAGGCTGTCCTTGAAATTGCAATCCTCCAGCCTCAGCCTCCGTCACTGGGACTAGAGGTGTGCTCCATTGTGCCCAGAATGGCAGATTATTTTTACCCTTTCCATATATTGATATATTTCTCTATTGTTTATTATTTACAATGGATATATACAATTTCTATTACTAATACGAAATATAATAAGAATACTGCATTTTGATAAAAAGAAACTGATAATATTCCAGAAAACCACCAAGCTATTAGAAGCTTAATAAAATCCAGTTTAGTAAGTTTCTAAAGTCAAAGTTAAAATTCCCCAAGAAATGAGATCTAGATCCTGTATACTTTCAAGTGGCTAAGGAAAAGAGCAAAAGGTAAACCAGGCCAAGAGTTCTCTGGTCGAGTATTAAGCCTCTTAGGAATAAGTGTGTATAATAATGAGGGAATTTCACTAAAGCAAAATCAGTAGGCAACAGAATATACTTGTGGTCTTTAGATAGAAGAGAAACCTGAAGTGTGAAGGCTCACTACAATCAAATAGACTCAGTGGATCTTAACTTAACCTTAAATCCTGTTTTTAATATCATACAAGAAAATACCCCCTTATAAATAGTGCTCACTCCTCCCCCTAAAACAGACCTAGAACCCAATGACAATTAACTTTTTAAAAAAACATATACATACATAAAACAGATTCAAATTTTTAAATTTATACTTCACAAGACTGAAAAGGAGAACATGATGCACTGAACTACTCACCTCCACAGGAGGACATGTCTGTACACCAGCATATGTTCCTGGATGTGACACCATAGTCCCACTTTTTATTTGAAAATGCGTTTTGCACATGTAACCATCAGAACAGTCCTGTGCTCCATCACCATAGAATACAAAAGAAAAATTCAATTAATTTAAGAATTCATCACTCAAAAAGCTACAATTTCTCATAAGTTCAAAGCCAAGTAAAGAAAACTATGTATATTGAATAAGACGAGATGAAACGAGTAAAAAAATCAGTCCAATATACCCTGCAGAAAGTAGATACTCAATAAATAAAAGTTCTATTCCCTTACCTTCTTCATGTATTAATGTACTCCCTTTTCCTAACTTAAACTGCTCCTCATTCCATCTCTCCCCATCACACACACACACACACACACACACACACACACGTAGCACTGAGGTCAGACAGCAAAACTTTAGCTTAGGAAATGTTAAAAAGCATTTAAACTTACAGAAATATCTTGTCACATTGTTAATATTATGTCCACAGCTTTTATAAAGAGAAATTTTCAGAGGATTTGCAAAAGATCTGAAAGCTGGAAGAGACCTTGTATATCCATCTCTTCTTCAAGGCAAGATCTCTATTGACTGTCCCAGGGAGGAAGGTAATTATGCAGCATCTGCCTGAGTGCTTCAGGGAACCTGCACTTCTTACTCCCTGACATATAACAGTTGCCTCCATTTCAGTACACCGTACAGGGAGAAAGTTTTATCTCATACTGTATTGACTGTTTCCCTCTAAGTTACTAGTTCTAGTTTTGCCCTCTGGAATCTAAACCCTTTTCGACAGAACTTTTCTTCAAAGACTTAAACAATTGCCATCATTTTCATATATGCTTTGCAAGATGATTTCTAAGCCCCTCACAAGTTATATTTCTCTGCTGCTTTTCTTACACTTGTTATTGTATAGACTAATGGTTGATGTTTGTCTAAATGTAGCCTGTTTCATTGTTTAAGGCAAAACTTGCTTGAATTCAATGAAGTCATGTATAAAAATATAATACTTCTCCATGCACAAACATACTCACATGCCAAGAAATATTAATTCTGCACAAAATTGTCACACCAACATTAATGTTTTAACAGGATTAAAATAATAAGTTAAATAAGAAGTGGCTACTTAATTTTTTTACAACAAGGAGGAAATTTGGATACAGAGACACAAACACACAGAATTCTGAGAAAGTCAAAGGAAAACGGAGATTGGAGTGGTGTACCTACAATCCAAGGAATGCTGAGGATTTCTGGCAACACCAGAAGCTAGGAAGAGGCAAGGGAGGGTTCTTCCCTAGAGTCTTCAGAGGCAGCATGATCCTTCCAGACCTCTAGCCTCCAGACTTATCAGAGATCCTTGCAGACCTCTAGCCTCCAGACTTATCAGAGAATATATTTCTGTTATTTTAATTCAGTCTGTATGTGGTATTTTTTATGGCATCCCTAGTAAAATAATATGGTCACCATATTTTTAAAGAGATTTGATGACACCTTAATAAACCCTCCTAGCAGATTGGCCTGACAACCTGCTAGCACTCACTTAGGGACCCTGCTGCTTGCTATCAGCACAAGTTCTAATTGACTGAATCCAACTCAAATTAGTTGATGCCTCTGTCACAAGTTGTTAAATATCTTAACTATCACTCCTGTCTATGAGATATACTATCAGATATCCAATACTATCATTTTTAATTTTCTTATTAAGGTTATGCATTTCATAGGTTCAAATTACTACTTAATGCTGCAATTTCTATAGTATCCACCCTCAAAGCAAACCCTCTGATGGCCTTCTACCATTAAAACTTTTATATTTAGACAATGCAAATTTAATATTTAATATTTAATGGAGTAAGTGGATAAAGATATATGTAGTGACTGTTTTTGTGAGATAAATTCCATCTAAGGCTAATACATAGTGACTATCTTTTTAATTTTTTTAGTTGTAAATTAACACAATAACTTTATATTTTATTATTTTTTAAATTGTAGTTGGGCACAATACCTTTATTTTATTTATTTATTTATTTTTATGTGGTGCTGAATATCAAACCCAGTGCCTCACATGCCAGGCAAGTGCTCTACCACTGAGCAACAACCCCAGGCCTATAGTGACTTTTATCATTGCTACTACTGTTTTACATCAAACATCTATTCCCCCTTCTTTTGGAAACCATTTTCCTCTAAGGACTCATTCTCTTCTCCATTGTTAGTGTAGACATGACCCCCAGCTCCAGGATGAATATAGGACTCTGATCTGGCCAATCAAGGCCTTAGCCTTTTTGACCACAGAGATGCAAGAAAGCAACTGATTTGAGCCAATATGGTATAATCCAGATTTGATTTGGGAATGTGGGGAGGGGGAGGTCTATTTTCTTATCCAATGGATTTTAACAAGAATTTTTTTTTGGTACCAGCGCTTGAACCCCAGGAGCACTTAACCACTGAGCCACATCCCTAGCCCGTGTGTGTGTGTGTGTGTGTGTGTGTGTGTGTGTGTGTGTGTGTTTACATCCCTAGCCTGTGTGTGTGTGTGTGTGTGTGTGTGTGTGTATAAACACACACACACACACACGGGCTAGGGATGTAAAAAAAAAAAATATATATATATATATATATATATATATATTATACATAAAATATATATAGAGAGACAGGGTCTTGCTAAGTTGCTTAGGGCCTCACTAATTTGCTAAGGCTAACTTTGAACTTGCAATCCTCCTGCCTCAGCCTCCTGAGCCACTGGAATTACAGGTGTACACCACTGTGCCCAGCAATAAAAAATGTTAAAACCTTAACAGCCATCATGTAATTAAATGGAAACTGAAAAAAAAGTCAGTGTGGATGAATTCAAGGCCATGAGATGTGGAGAGACCAGATTCTAATTACACTATTTATACCACCATACCGAAAGCTAGTTCTACCTTCAAATTTTCCCATTATAAGTCCCTTCCTTGCTTCACCCAATGAGTTCAGTTTTCTGTCCTCGGAAAACAAAATAATCTTGCTTTTAAATGACATATTGTGTTACAGTAGTTTAAAGATAGAAAAATTCTCCTCTATTGTATTGTCACCTTCATTATGATAGATAATCAATAATTGGTTATATGAAAGGTTTATCAACTACAATAAAACTAACAGTATGTGTTTGTGGCAATCTGCAATTTCCAAATGATCTAGGAATAGAGGAAGAAACAAAAACTCTTAGGTATTCAGAGAACAGTTAGAGCTAAACCATGTGTACTAAATATAATTATGAAATGAGAATAACTATTCTATTTTGTGTTATCTGCACACTGGTCATACAACCTCTTCTTAAGTGAATATGCAATTTAGTAAAACTAATTACAATGCAAAACACTTTTCCTTTGATCCAATTCCAAGGGGAGACAAAAAATTTCTCCATACCTGTTATAAAATCTAAAAACATTATCTTGTCTCTTTTCCAATGAGGTAAGATAAAGAGATATGTGATTTTCAATATTACTTATACTAATTTCCATTTTAGGTGATTTTTAAATCTATTGATTATTATCTATAGGGAAGCACACAAGATTTTTGACTCAGTCTGTATTTATTTGGTAATGAAGATTTTTTCAGCACCAATCTCTTAACAGGAATAGCCTTGAAAAATCAAACATAGAAAAAGGAGAGTGATAGAATACCTAACATGCTAAAGGCCCTGAGTTCAAGCTCAGCACTGAAAAACAAAGAAGGAAAACATTATTAGAAAAAGGAGAGTTTTAGCATTTTTATTTCCCTTCAAATACTAATTTCCATATAAGAAGGTCTTTTTCCCATATTATTTTCATTTAAGGTAGAATAGTGGGTTTTGTTCCTCACTGCCATAGGATGTTTTTGTAGAGACAACAACCAAATGTAAAAGCATGAGAACCATCACCCTAAGTCTGCTCTTTGGTCCATCTAACCCAGTAAACAATGTTTAACTAAAATCTCCCCATCATACTAAAGTTTCCCCTGTCAGAATCAACAATCCTCTCTAGTTTATGTATTTACCATGGTTTACAATTTAACATTTAGCTCTTCTTTAATTTTTTAACATTTGTTAGTTTTATTTCCCCCACTAGATCATAAAGTCAGGGCATAGGTCCCAGGACCTAAGGGAATCCAGGATCTTAACTGCAGAATTCAGACTGCCATAACACATAAAAACCTAATCCAGATAGAGCCTAAAAACATCCTGGATCAGCATGGGAGGATGTAAGAACAAAGGGAACTCACAGTTTACCCAGTTCAACCCTCTCCTTTTACAGATAAGAGGGTGAAGGATTGAAGCACTTCTAAGAAACTTGTTTTTCAGCTAATTAGGGGCAGAGCTGGAAGTGGAAAGCAGGTCACTTGACCCAAGCATTCTTTCTAGTACACTAAGCAAATTCTGCCAGAGAGCAGGAACTTGGCAGGAACATGCTTATTGACTCTGGACTGGGGTAGGTCAGTGCTTTTTGCTTCGACTAACAAGCTCAAGCCACTCAAGTGTGGTCTAGTGACCAGCAACCTCAACATCACCTGAGAGCTTATTAAACATGCAGAACCTCCAGCCCCACCCCAGACCTCCTGAACCTGTATTTAACAGGATCCCCCAGGTGGTTCCTGTGCACATTTGGAAGCACTGAGGCAGTTTATACTGAAATTCCTGATTGAAAGAGATTGCACATTGATTGCATTAGTGGTGGTTCTCAACCCTAGCTACTACACATTAGAATAGAACCTGGGGAGTTTTCAAAACGCTGTTGCTGGGGTCTCACCTCAAACCAATTAAGTGAAAATCTCCCCAGCAGATTCTATTGCAGTAGCTGAGAACCACTGTGTGAAATTCACTGGAGCTTGCCTTTTCCATTCAGAGAAGAACAGAGTCATGAAGTAATCTCCAGTTGCCTCAGGAGAAAAGGCAACAACTCAAGATCTTCATGAACACCATAGCTCAGTTGGAGCTCTCCAAATGCTAAAAATCACCTCTGCTCATACTCACTGTGGAGCTTAGACTGTGCCAAAAGTGCCTTATAAGTGGTCTTTCCCCTAACACACATTTTTTATTGTTGCAGTATACTTGTAAATACTCCTGGGATTTGTTGTTACA